AGTGGAATTTTGGTCCATCAATCAGCTTACATTGAAAAAATTCTGAAGCAATTTGGTATGGACAAGGCTTATCCACTAAGCACGCCAATGGTCGTTCGTTCTTTGGACATTAAGAAAGATCCATTTCGTCCAAAAGAAGATGATGAGCTGGTCCTTGGTCCAAAAGTACCATATCTGAGTGCAGTAGGTGCTTTGTTGTATTTAGCATAATGTACTAGACCAAATATAGCTTTTTCAGTTAACTTGCTAGCAAGGTATAGTTCTGCTCCAACAATTCGCCATTGGAAGGGTATCAAAGATGTATTGCGATACCTTCGTGGGACAACAGACATGGGTCTCTTCTACTCAAAGAACTCCACAGATGACCAGGTCCTTGTTGGATATGCAGATGCTGGCTTCCTCTCTGATTCGCATAAAGCCCGCTCACAAACTGGATATGTGTTTAAGAATGGAGATACAACAATCTCATGACGCTCAACCAAGCAAACATTAGTTGCTACATCTTCAAATCATTCAGAAATACTTGCTTTACATGAAGCAAGTCGTGAATGTTCTTGGTTAAGATCAATGATCCATCATATCCAGAATTCATGTGGTCTAACTTCGAAGACAGACAATCCAACTGTCATCCATGAAGATAATGCAGCTTGTGTTGCCCAAATGAAGGAATGATTCATCAAGGGCGATAAGACTAAACACATATCTCCAAAGTTTTTCAGTGCTCATGAGCTTCAGAAGGCTAAAGTTATTGAAGTCAGACAAATCCGTTCAAATGAAAATCTGGCAGACTTGTTCACCAAATCTATATCAAAGTGCACATTTCAGAAGTTAGTGCAAGGCATCGGATTACGTCGATTTACCAAACAGCTAAATTTGGAGAATGCGGAATCAGGGGGAGATACATATCAGGGGGAGCATCCCTGATACATGCTTGTTGTACTCTTTTTCCTTCGATTAGGATTTTTCCCACTGGGTTTTTCCTATCAAGGTTTTAACAAGGCAACATAAGCATACTTGACACTATATCAACGATCCAGGAAAAATTGTACTCTTTTCTTTCGCTATGGTTTTTTCCCACTGGGTTTTTCCAAGCAAGGTTTTAACGAGGCAACTCATGTTGATATTTGTGGGCATCCAAGAGGGAGTGTTGAAAAGTCTCATGAGCAATGAATGCCCACAGTTTCATTTGTGAAAGTCTACTGCATGGGCAAAGTTTTCAATGCCCATGCAAAGTGAAAGAGATTGTATAGTCAGACGAAGTTTCATAAATTTCAAGATGCATTAACTGCATCAGTTTAGAGTTGCTTTATAAATAGAGCACTCCGCATGTTTTTAAGTTACAAGGAAAGAAATGAAGAAGTGAACGAGAGAAAAATATCAGTAACATCATCTATTTTCTCTGCCTTTTATTTGTTATCTGCCTGTGCTATAATTTTAATGTGGCATTTTACATCTACCTTGCACCTACCATTAAAAAGGTTATTCCTCAAACTTTAACCCTTTTATAACATTATTTAGTTTTTACGATTTTTTTTTTTTTTTTTTTTTTTTTTTCGTCTTGGAAATTTCCCTATCAACTTTCAATTCATGTCCATACTAATTTTCGTACTAAATTTCCCTATCAACTTCCAACACGAAATAGGTTTTTTTCGTCTTGGAAATTTCTTCATACTAATTTTCCCTATCAACTTTCAATTCATGCCCATACCAGTTGTTAGTGTTGTCAAATTTTTATTAATTTCAACACGAGCAATGCACATGACTAACTTTTAGGGGCACAATGATTGAACATATAGGAGAGCAAAATCCAATTAAAAATTTACAGATAAAGTGACACACAACTTATTCAGGCGTATTATTAAAACTTTTCTCTGCCCTCAATTACTTCATTACTTCACACTTACACGTCATCTTTTATCTCCAGCTCCCCAATTTCACTATTGGCTTTTTATTCCAGTCAAAAAGTTTGATATTACACATAGATAGAGCTATGTTTATTTGGTAATGATACTTTTTTCTTCTTTAAAATCTTGGTTTTAACATAAAGACCAAAGAGAAAAGACAGGCGGAGAAAAAGGAATAATATATGTATATGTGTGTGTATATATTTTGTTGTAAAAGCTGTGAGAATTTAACGCTCACATGATTAATCAAAAATGAAAAGTAAGACGGACTAAAAATAGTCAATTTTTTTGTTGTTGTATGACATGATTTTCAACATGCATTTATTTTCCTTATAGACTTATACACGTAAATGATTCTATATAAAGAACATGCAATGTATGATCAAACAAAGCATAAGATCAAGAGTGAAAGCAATAATAGCAATATCCTTTCTCTCTTTTTACCTGCAAATTGTGTGATACCTTGCAGTTGTTCCACTTATATTTCTAGCAAATGTTATATCTCTCTCACTTCTGCTTTGTTGCACAATATATATATATATATATATGTAATAATTGCTTTGTCAAATATTATTGGCTTTTTATCCAAAATAGTCTATGAGATTTGCAGAACTTCTTATTTTGGTTCCTGAGATTTGAAATCGATAGAATTGATCCCTGAGTTTGTCCACCTTCAATCATTTTGGTTATTTCGTGAAAAATCTCCATTAAATAGGGATAAAATGGAAAACATACCTTCAATTTTTGTCAAATCATTTTGGCCTATTATTTATTAAATTGAGGGTAGTTTTATCATTTAATCTTTATTTAACATAATTAGTCACAGAATGACCAAAATGATTGATGATGGATAATCTCAGGGACCACTTGTATTGATTTCAAATTTCAAGGACCAAATTGAGGAGTTATGAAAATCTCAAGGACCAAATTTTAGCTAAAAGGCCAATATTATTTGAGAATTTTTATTCCCACCCCAGTGTCTTATCTCCTCACTCATCTTTATAATAAAAATTTTAATACAATTTTACCCATTTATAAAATGATGGATAAGAACCTTAATATATAATAATAATTTCACAGCCACATCTATACCACTAGCAGCACGTAAAGAGATTTTTGCTTCCCGCTCAATTGAAAGATTTTGGTGTTTATTCATGATGTGAAATTTTGGTTGTTCGGATGGTTCCAAGTTTATAATTTTCCAGTTTTGTTTGCTTCCAATAATGCTTGAAGACTTGAAGTTCATGCTTGTCGTTTTTCAGTAAACATGGCTTCCTCTATACTTAGTCATACTTTTCCGCAAACCAGATGTTTCCTTAAATCAACAATTCTCTTGTTCTTCTCTTCAATCTCTAGCTCTGTCATATGTTTGGCCTTCTTCAAATCTTCATTAAGCTTTTCAGTTGTAACCAGATTTTCTACAACTTCTGAGAAGTTCTGAGAAGAACAATATAAATGCACTTGTCAAGTCTTGCTCTAATGACGATGCCATTACTTGGAAATTTTTTATGTTCTCATATTTCTCATTTATAACACTGAAAAACCTGTTTCTCTAGTCCAATAGCTTCCTCTCCATCCCCGTGATATCATTTTTGAAATTTTCTATGCAGATATTGTTTTCCTTCGCACTTCTTGTAAGGTTCTTAGTGTTTTGTGTGAAAAATTATACTCTTGTATGCTTATTTATAATGTGAAATTTTGGTACGTAATTATTCAAGAGTAGGGAAGAATTAATATAATGGGCTCGAGAAGTTGGGAAGGTCAATGGTCTTGTTATTGTGACGTTACAATTGTGGAATCGGGCAAAGAAGTTATTCTCTTTCTCCTAAGAGACAAGTTTACAATTTTAGATATATTAGAGGTCAGTTTAGGAATAATAGTAAGTGAGAATATAATATTTTAATATTTTAACTTTTTATGGTGGGTGAAATTATAACGTAGGTGGAGAAATAAGACAATATGGTGGGTCTAGCAGTTTTCTATTATTTTCTTGTTAGTGTAGAGCTTTAAATAATTGTGTTTATTAAAAAATTGTTGAAACCAAATTTTTTATTGGATGAAATGTTAGTGGAATAAGGGTCATACTATTAAACTTATAAAATTTAAAATTAAGTCTAATGTCGAATTTAACTTCTCGTCACAAAGACTTCAAATTCAATAAACAAATAACACTTTAGTTGAAATAACTCTTAATATTAAATATTCACAATGACATATCTACCTAAGATTTGACGCTCCAGAAAAAGAAGGCTATGATTATAAAGGTAATCTAAAACGTAGGATGAAACAATTCAAGTCAACTTGACTTCATACTTTTATAAACCTTCAATCACTCACCAAATCATTCATTCATTCATTCCCTTCCCTCTCAATTAATCTCATACTCCATTTCCAGAAGCTTTCAAGCTTTCAAGAACTTGTGACAGTATATACAGCATATATATTTATATAAACCGATGGGGAAGTTTTACTGCTTGGTAGGCGATCTTAATCTCATGGCAGTTCTGGTGGTGATTGTTGTAGCTCTTTTCGTCATGACGGTTTTCGCTCCACCGCCGCGGCGTGGCACTATTATTGCTGTCTACCGCTGCTATTGAGTAGTTAACTTCTTTCGAATCCTCTTGCCATGCCACACATATATGCATCTCTCCTCTCCTCTCCTCTCTTCTCTCAGTAGTTTTCTCATTTTTGCTGCTTTGAGTTGCTGGTAATAAATTAGTAATCATGTTTGTAATGAATCATAGTGTTATTTGAAGTTTGTTGTAAAAATTATGTGATATGTGTTTGTGACAAGTTCATGGAAAATTTGGTAAAATAAATGTAATATGTGTTTGACGAGCTCATGGAAATTTTGAAAATAACCAAAATTTAGACACTACGGAGAATTATACCCACTCTTTTTTTACTTAATTTTTTTCTTTTAAAAAAAGGACTAGTCGATGTTTTTTGAAATTTATGACGAGCTTTTAAATTTATGATAATTATAACAACAATTAATATAAAAATACTAATATACTCTTAGGGGACGTTTGTTTGGCCTTGTTAGCTGGGACTAGACTGGATTGGACTACTTACTTACATAGTCCCATGTTTGGTTTGTATTGGGACTAAGTTAAATGGGACTAAAGGGGACTCGCGTGGATTAGAGGGCTCGCTAGGAGTTCTTAGCGAGACCCTCCACAAACCACGGGACTTTCTAAGATATCTTCGCTTAGCCCCTTTCGCTTCGCCCCTGCTTCTTCTTCTCCACTCCCGCATCCATTTTCATCTTCTTCCTCATCTCTGCTTCACCCCTCTACGAGTTCTAGGCTACGTTCTTTTGGATCTCAAAGGAATTTGCGTCGATTTGCAGATCGTGGGGAGGAAATGGGCATCGTGGTGGCGATTTTCTTCGAGCATTGTCGTGACCACCATGGATGCCAAGCCCTTGCAAGCTTCAGTTCCCAACGCTTTAGCCCACAATGCATCAAGACCTCCAATACCCATTTCCGATTTGGTCTCCCCCACCATTTCTAACATGCCGATAATTTTTTCCCGATCAAATCCCTGAAGAAAACTGCTCCATCCTCTCCAAGTTTCTTATTCTTTTGCAACCTCTCCCATTAGGTAAAGACGATTGCTTTTTTTTTTTTCCTCAATTTTTTAATTTTTTTTTCACATGGGTTTGCTTGGTGCTATGTTGTTGCTGATTAGTGAGACCCCCCCGACTACCACCAGATTTTTAAGACCCTTCTTTTCTCTCACGTCGTCCCACTCGACTCCTCGCTCTGCTCGACTCCTCATCCTGCTTGACAAGCTCACTGGACCATCCCAGGACCACCGCCGCGTCCTCGTAAATCACGGCTTCTTCTGCCACTTTCTCTTCTTAGTTTTCTTCAGTTTTGTTTTGAAGATTCGTGAAATTATAACTAGGTTTTGATAGATTATTGTTTTTGATCGATTTGTGGGTTTGATTGATTTCTCGGATTTGATTGGTTTCTGGGTTTTTATTTTTGGGTTTTGACTGCTACCCATTTGTTTTCAATTTATCTGCTATTTTTCCTTTTATGAAATGAAATACAAAGTTGTTCTATGTAAATTCTGATAGGTTTTGTTATCAACTCATTAATTTTTGCAGGTATATGATCTTACCTAGTTAATTAGTACCTTTTACATTAAGGCTTATGGTAGTCTTACAAGAATCCAACAAATTGAGTGGAACTGTCGGTGAGGGTGAAGCACCTGCAATTCGTGAAGAAGAAGAGGGCTATGCCCTTTTATTTTTCCATATATTCATTTTGATATTTTTAATAGAAAATAAATTAAAATATAATAATAATAATAATAATTTATTGTTAGTCCAGTTTTTTAGTCCGACACTGCACCAAACGCTTTCACTATGCTAGTCCAGTTTAGTCTAGTCTAAACCAATCCAGCTTAGTCCTTAAAACTAATCCAATCCGAGACAGTCCTGTGTAACAAATGTACCCTTAAAACCTCGTTTGGCATCCGTATTTATTTTTCTTTGCACATAGATGAAATTCATGTAGCAGTGACATTGCCTTTCCAAAAACCCATGTTGCTGCCAACATCCCAAATGGCATGCTGGAATGAGGAAACTAGTCAGCCGCCATTCTTTTGTTTTAAGAGTAATATTAGAGAGACCAAAATTTTTAAACCAAATTTGCAAACTAAATAATGTGATTGTAGATGCTTGGATTATTGATTAAGTATCGATTAATGCTTGTTTTTTATTTGTGAAACATCATTTGATTTGTAAATTTAATCTCCTTAACATTACGTTTTGTTTAATAGCAAAAATATTAAATCAGACTCTCCTTGACAACATGAATGTGTCTTTCTAGAGTTTTCTTTAGCAAAAATTTAATTTGACCATTGTGATTTGGTTAGGATACTTTATTCGAACTTTTGTGTGGGGTTTATTATTATTTTTAATTATTAGCATTTGTGTGGTTTTAAATGGGTATAAGCATGAGAAAATTCAACAACAAACAAGGACCTGTCAAACTTTTTTATGTTTCTTTTTTTTTTTTTTCCCTTATTCGATACAATATTAAATACAGTATAAATAATATATAGTTTGATATTGCACTAAACACTCGACTCATACTATGTGATGACTATTTATCCTATTCGATTGAAATAATTTGTACAGTCCGATCTACCAAACAGAAATTTAAAGTACTACTACAGGAAGTCACCACTTGCATATAGGTAGACTCTATATAGGGTCCAAATTGTTATTGTCTTCAAAATTTTCCCATGTAGAACTGCGTGATTCGAGCACGAAACCGAAGGGCAAATCAAGCAAATATAGTGTACCTTCGAAGTTCGAACCCATTACAGAAACTGCATCTGGGTATCTTTTTTTCGTGAATCCGAACACTTGTTCTTCTGTCGGGGCAAATTTGAGGGATTTTGGAGAGATTTGTAGCCTCTGCCTACAACCATGTTAAGATGAGAGGTGGGTGCTGGGTTTTGGTTTGTGTATGAAGGCTTCCTCGCCGACATGTTTTGATGAAGATTTTAGGAAAGGGAAGGTTGGATTTGTTAGAAATCGCAGAAATATTGAAACTTTAATAAGAAAAAAAAATGGTAAAATTAATAGATGAATAAACCCAATAATAATAAAATTTGGAAAAGCATATCCAAAATTGCAGTGAAGAGATGAAGTGTGTTCTAATTATTCATGCATTACTGTTTAATAATATTGGTCAAATAGTACATGAACTATGTGGCAAGTATGCTGGGAAGAGAAAGACAATTGAAATTTGGGGATGCAAGAATTGTGGAAAAGTGAAGCTTGACAGTGCCTGCAGCACTGCTAGTTTTTTCACAGTGAAAAGAAAATGAGAAGGTTTTTAGTTGTATATTAGTACTTTTATATCAACTTCTGCTAAGTACTAGTTTTTTTTTTATATTTGGATTCCCTTGTTAAATCTTGTATTTGCTATCACATGCTCATAGTTTAGAGTTAGGGTGTAATGCTAATTACCACTGGGGGTTGAACTTATCAAAGCACCAGCCATCTTCACTACAAAAGGTTTGAATCATACATTTGCATATGCATGTTAAGCTTATTTTTTTAGATTCCTTTTGTCTAGTGTAGTTGTCTAGTTAGAATTTTCGTCTGTTTTCCACCTGTTTAGGCACACAAAATAAGACAGCCCACATGGGGCCATCTGACACCTTTTCCCGTGCGTGGATCTCTCACCCTTGATCTGGGAAGGCCTCTTGGGCTCGTGACACGTGTCTCCTTCTTCCCTTTGTTTGAAACATCCATCTCTTCCATTATAAGGGTTTTCAAGGTTTCATTTGTGTTTGGTTAGGATTTTCAGATTTTGAGAAAATGAGTGCATTTAGCCTAGAGCTACCTCTTAAGCTTCTAAACCGAAACTCTAGCCACAAAACCATCTCATGCACAAACACTCAATCACTGCATATTAGAGTTGCATTGTTTTAGTGGTGTTGCATTAAGCTTTTGGTCTAAACCTAAGGTTCCATATCGTTCATAGACCAATCTCTTGAATTCATGTTAGATTCTTCTTCAACTGTTTGACTGAAGAACCTGACTGGTCAGTTGAATCCAAATCTCATGCGCATATCATAAAATCATATCACATCATTAATCGTGTTGAGCTTGGTGCCACAAGGTGAAGAGCTAAGGAAGAGCTGCCATCTTGTGAAGACTAAAGGAGTCCATCTCGTGTAAGGCAAGATTGCACAAAGGTAAAGCTGCTCCATAGATAGGGATCTAGGAATTGATCTTTTGTGGTCTTTGTATGAACCTTTGTTTACACTAGTGGATTGGACTCAATAGAGTCCTCGGTTTTTTTAATCTAGACGTGGTTTTTTCTGGCAAAAAACTTGCTTTTATTCAATACTTTACAAAACCTTATTTATAACCTTGTTGGAGTTCAATATTGTAGGGTTTGCTAGTATTGACACTTTATTAACTAAGTAAACTTAACCCAAGTACTAAGATTAAGACTTAACTGAAGTTCACATTGTTAAGTTTTAACCTTTTAAGTTTGTTTGATTTATATGCTTGTGGGATTCTAACAATCTGAACTCAGTTGACTAGTACATTTGACTAGTCAGTAAAGTTATTTTTAAGTTTTTATTGTAGAGTATTCCACCTAGTACCAATTTCAATTGGTATCAGCGCCTTGCTCTAGACATACATAGAGTAATCTCTGGGATTTTACTGGTATTTGGTTGTCTCACATCATGGATCGTGTTCATGTAACTCTCCTCCATTATTTGATGGCATGAACTATGCATCATGGAGTGAGAAGTTTCAAATATTCCTTGAGGCACATGATTTTCTTGCGGTTGATTATCTTACTCTTGAGTCACTCTAGAGCTATTGATGGGGAATTGGTGATCAAACCTAAAAATGAATGTACTGCTGGTGAAGTGACATATACCATGACAAATAGGAAGACAAGAAATGCCATTGTATTTGCTATATCGCCAACTCAGTTTGCTTATATTCGATACTGCACAATTGACAAGCAAGCTTGGGATAAACTTCGAATCCTTCATGAAGGTGACAAACAAGTGAGAGATTTGAAGCTTCAAATGACCTTCTCAAAGTTTAAACATATAAGAATGCTCGAGTCCGAAACCTTCTTAGCTTTCTATGAAAATGTTGAAATGTTGATGAATGAAGCCTTGGAATTAGGGAAACCTATATGTGAAACAATTGTTCAAAAGATCTTGAGATCTTTGCCCAAGAGATTCCAAGCAAAAAAGGCTGTCATCCAAGAGTTTCAAGATTTAAATGAGATTAAGCTCGGAAAGTTAGTTGGGAAACTCATTACTTATGAGATGGAGCTTGAGATGGATGATGGTGTCACCAAAAAGGGAAAAGATGTTGCTCTTCAAATTGTTGGTAATAGCAACATTACAAGTGACTTTTCTGATTTGCTCTCAAAGGATGATCTTGCCTTATTTATCAAGTAATTCAGAAAAGGTCTCAAAAACAAAGGAAGAGATGTCAATTGGTCTAAGGGGTCATCAAACAATCGTGAAAAACTACTCTATGGTTAGAAATATAGTGATTTTTCAGAAAAGAAAGACAAAAGTCTATCCAAAGTGTCTAGTCTTTGTTTTATGTGTGGTGGAAGTGGGCACCATGCAGTTGAATGTGCCAACACCAGACTTCTTAGTAAGAAACATGAAAAGGCTATGATGGCTACTTGGAGTGACAATGAGAGCAGGATTCTATGTCATCAAACAAGTCATCAGATGAGGAAGATAAGATTGTTGCATTTGTTGCATCTGTTGATGAAACATCCTCCAGAGGAAAAGACAAAGTATTGGATGATACTAATGTGTTATCATCTCAGGAGTTGTCCAACTTGTATGAATCTTTGTTTGATAAGATGTGTGTTGCAATGTTGGACAATGCAGAACTTGTCAAAAAGGTGTTTGTGTTATAAGAAGAGGTTGAGTCTTTCCGTCTAGTCAGAACAGAACTGAGTGACAAGGTCACACGGTTAGAAGCTGAACTTCACATGCTGAATGAAAGAGGCTCACTCTAGGGTGATGATGATAAAAAGGATGACCTAATTATCTCTATTGAAGATAATGTTCAGAGTTTGATGATATTGTATGAAAGTTTACTTCAACAAACTCATCTGTTGCAGGAAAACAATGAATTGTATTAAGAAGCTAATTTGAAGCTGACTTCTGAATTGAATGAGGCTACATGCAAGTTAAATTGTCTGTCTATGGGTGTTGACTTATCAGAAAGTGTATTCGTTATTGTAATTAGTTTAAAGGTGATGAAAACAATTCAAGTTCCATGGGTGTGAACACGCATGCTTCTAAGGGACTTCCTCTTATATCTCCATTGGCTGACTCTACTTCAAGGTCTAGATTTGTCCCCAAATGTCATCATTGTCGTGATCTTGGCCACATTAGACCTAAGTGTAGAAAACTACATCTGGAAAGGAAAAATGATCTAAAGGAACAAATGGATCATTTAACCATAGAGGTCAGCAGAATGTCCAATATTGTTAATTCTTCAAGCTCAAGAAATGTCAAGTCAAGTTAAGTTCAAGTGGCTT